CATAATAGAAACAGTGAGCAGAGGTGTGAGACAAAGGAGTAATAAAGAAAAACAAAACAGTTACATTGGAGATCATAAGTCACAAGGAGTGGATGCATCTGCGCCACTGAGAACGATTTTGAGCCATGTCACCAATTGTTCCCAACCATTGATTTTTACCGTCCCGAGGACCCCAGCCTGGAAGTCTACACCTTCCTACGTGGCTTAGACCAACTGTTGTGGATTTCATTGACTGGTGCCAAGTTTTTGTTCGACCGCCGCTAGCTTTTTTCCAGCCTGACCCTATATCCGCTAACATAGCTCGTCGAGGGAGGCGATGACTTGGCATACGTAAAACATGTCCTAACCATCTCAGTCTTTGTAACTTCACGACTTCGTCGATTGATTTCCTCTGTTTACCTAGAACTCTACGCCTAACCTCCATGTTTCTCACCTTATTATGCCACTCTACACGGGAAATAGAGCGCAGGCACCTATGATCAAAGACAGCTAGTCTTTTCATGTCTTCCACTCTGAGTGGCCAGGTCTCACAACCATAAAGGAGGACGGAGCGGACTGATGAGCAGTACACCCGCCCTTTGGTCGATAGTCGGATATCACGTATACGCCAGAGTCGGCGTAAACTGGCAAATGCGAAACGAGCCCCCTGTATTCGTGCTGAGATTTCGATAGAGCGATAGAGAAAGACAGAGAGAGATGGGAGCCTAGAAGTGTATCTGGAGCAATACCATTCTTTTCATTGTCTGGTCACCTGGGCTTCAACATAGGAGGAGAGTATTGAAAGTCTAATTAACCACTGTTCTGTATCCATACTCCATTAGACATTAAAGTATTAGGAGCTGAATTTGTGTGAACTAAATATATATATATTTTTGATTTACAGCTTGATTCCACACTGTATTTTTGGTACAAGTATGGAATTTTCAGCATGGATATCGGTAGCCCGAATTTTGCAGGCCGACCATAGATATCAGGTGTGCGTCGGTGCGGGCTCGAACTCCGGACCATGTGCATGGTCGGTGAGAGTCCTAACCACTGTGCCACCGACGCACATGTTGCCAGGCTACTCAAGTGCATCAGAGTAAATGAATCCAAATACTAGTTCACTCATAACCCTGGGTCTGTTGAATAATTTAGCAAATTGTTGGTTACTTTCAGTCCTTGTTTACTGTTATACTTGTCTGAGAAGTTGCTTCAGATAGGACCTATCATAAGCCATTTGAACCTACATGAGCCAAGCCAGTCAACTGGCATCACCCAAGTCATCAGAAAATGTAAATTTGGCTAAATGTAGAATGATAAACCCAGTCTGACACAAAGTAATCGGGAAAAGAAAATGTCATCCGCTGTTATGCGCACACTTGTATCATGCTTCGTAGAACTCTGAAGACTGTCAGTCAGTAGGGCGAGTGGTGGTATCCCATTGGGCCATCATGTCGTTGACATTGTCACCGATAGCCACTTGATTTTATGCAACACATTTGCTACAATAATTTTGTCAGACTGTGAGCATCCACTGTAGCACTCGCAACTCCAACCTTGTGTCTCCTCAGGTAAAACAAGAAGTCTTTTCAGAAGACTTTGTGCTTGTACGTCTAAGTAGAAAAATTCCACAATATCTTCTCTGGCACGTAATTTATTTGATGAAAATAGTGTCAGGCATGAACTAACTACCTAAACTTCTTTGCACCGGCCGATAACTGCTACCTTGTCGTGGCAACTCTTTAGACTCATCACAGATTCGGGTGGGAGAAGGCAATTCATAAGTGAGACTATTTCTGAGAAAAATGGCTCCTTAATTAGCTCTCAGGATAGACGCCTTGAACGCTGGAAAGAACACTTTGAGGAACAATTTAACTTGCCTACAGCCACACTGAACCTCCCTGCCATCCATGGGCTTATGGGGAATTGTCATCGGAATTGGTAACAACCAGTGGTGTCCGACAGGGATGTCCACTTTCCCCATTTCTGTTTAACTTCGTCATAGATATGCTAACGGAAGTATCCTTAACTGAACGTAGTGACTTAGGAATCGACTTATTACCAGGGAATAATCTAATGAACTTAGAATATGCAGATGACATAGTCCTGTTAGGGGAGGATGCTGAAAAAATGCAGAGTCTTCTGAACACCTTGAGCAGCAATCTTCGTATGTTTGGCATGCGATTCGCCCCTGCAAAATGTAAGATGCTGCTACAGGACTGGACCACGTCAACTCCTAGCTTAGTGATAGGGAGTGAAGTGATAGAACATGTTGACCACTTCACCTATTTGGGAAGTTGTATTAGCACCAACGGACTGATTGGCGATGAAATCTCAGCACGGATCCGAAAAGCTCGAGCTGCTTTCGCTGACTTACACCATCTCTGGCGTAGGCGTGACATCCGGTTATCAACCAAGGGACGTGTGTACTGCTCATCAGTTCGCTCCGTCCTTGTCTATGGCTCTGAAACATGGCCAATACGCGTTGAAGACATGAAAAGGTTAACTGCTTTCGATCATAGATGTCTGCGATCCCTGTCTCACGTTAGGTGGTTTCACAAGATAAGTAATGTTGACGTTAGGCGTAGAGTGTTGGGCAAAGAGGGAAAATCAATCGACGAGGCTATAAAGTTACATAGACTAAGATGGCTAGGTCACGTGGTGCGCATGCCTAACCACCGCCTCCCCCGACGGGCATTGCTAGCTGATATAGGTTCAGGTTGGAAAAGGGTAAGTGGTGGCCAAACAAAAACATGGCCTCATCAATCCATGAAATCCTTGACAGTTAAACTGAGTCAGGTAGGGAGATGCAGACTCCCGGGTTGGGGTCCTCGGGACTCTAGGAATCAATGGCTGGAGACAATAGGTGACATGGCTCAAAATCGTTGTCAATGGCGCAGATGTATTCAGTCTCTGTAATCTTTCATATTCCTTTCTACAATTACCCATTCTGTTTCACTCTTATATTTGTCAAACTCTATTGATTCTCTTCACTCATCTTCTTGTCTACTTTTGTGTGGTATTTGGAACGTGGCAACTCGAACTGCTGCACTTCGGTGCCAAGTTCTATGTTGAATCCAGACAGACAGACAGACAGGGCGAGTGGTGGTATCCCATTGGGCCATCATGTCGTTGACATTGTCACCGATAGCCACTTGATTTTATGCAACACATTTGCTACAATAGTTTTGTCAGACTGTGAGCATCCACTGTAGCACTCGCAACTCCAACCTTGTGTCTCCTCAGGTAAAACAAGAAGTCTTTTCAGAAGACTTTGTGCTTGTACGTCTAAGTAGAAAAATTCCACAATATCTTCTCTGGCACGTAATTTATTTGATGAAAATAGTGTCAGGCATGAACTAACTACCTAAACTTCTTTGCACCGGCCGATAACTGCTACCTTGTCGTGGTGGTCGGGCTTGAATACCGCAATTACCCAACAAGCTGAACTGACTGGGACTCTGTCTCTACAGGTCCTACTATGTCAGGAAGGTTTTCTGGATAGCGGTTAAACTAAAAGCAGTTACCATGGGGTACATGGGCTCCAGTTTCCAATCGGATCAAATGGCGTATGAACCCACATGGGTCACCGGCAACCATGGGAATGCAGCTCCTGACGCTGCTCCACTGCCTTGCGGATTAGACTCCAAGTCAAAGGCTCGGGGGGTGGTCCCTTAATAAAACCACCTGCTTCGGTCTGGGCGCCCGGGCAGTATCTCAGCCCGCACACAATGAATGAATTAAAGCAACGAACTCCCATTGAAACTCAACGCGCGCTAGTATAAATGATTCCAAGCAATATTGATCCCTCAAGGAACTTATTTCCTTCCTACCCTACTTTTATTTTTATACATAGTTTCCTGTATTGTACCTTTTCTAACCTTGTCTTCTTAACCTTCGACAGCCTTTCGCCTTTGTCGAGATTCCCAGCCTATCCGTGTCGTTTCGAGATGTTAGTGAGTAGTCCTCAAAATGGTTGTTCCCAATGTGACATCTAACACGGATATCCTGAAACTGCGTGCTGCGTTCAAGCTGGCTACCTACAATGTTCGGACGCTGATGCAAATCGGACAACAGGCAGGGTTGGCAAGAACTTTGGAAAGCCTCGCTATCGATGTCTGCTGCATTTCGGAGACCCGCATTCAAGATCCCAGTGAAGTGCTTCGACTATCCTCTCCATCTGGAAGTTCTAGTAGTATGTACCACCTGCGCTTATCCGGGGACCCTGTGGCGTCGGCATCCGGCGTAGCTGGTGTCGGTGTCGCACTGAGCACTAGAGCCGAAGCTGCACTGCTCGACTGGATTCCCACTAACAGTCGTTTATGTGCTGTGAGGCTGGAAGGTTATACGAAAGTAAAGAGTAGTAGGCCAGATAGGCGGTGTCTATTTGTTGTCTCTGCCTATGCACCGACGGATTGCAGCCCGGATGCAATGAAGGATGAGTTTTACTACCAACTGAGCGATCTCTTGAAACAGGCGGGTCGGAGGGATATCGTAGTGCTGGCTGGGGACTTGAATGCACAGGTGGGGCGTCTAAGCTCAGAGGAGAATCGTCTAGGTGGTCAGTGGGGACTACATGGTCGCAGGTCAGATAATGGGGACCGTCTTCTGCAGCTTTGCGCGGATCACAACCTATTTCTAGCTAGCACCAAATTCCGGCACAGCCATCGCCGTAGCGCTACCTGGCGTCCTCCCTCTGCGAAGCAAGCTTGGACTCAGATTGATCATATCTCGGTGAGTTTCCGGTGGCGAGGATGCATACAAGACTGTCGCTCATTCTGGAGCACATGCCTGGACTCCGATCATGCGTTAGTGTGTGCCAAGTTCGTCTTGCGATTTGGTGGGGTTCGTAAAAGCCGTCGTCTAAGCGTTGATGTGAGCAAACTGGTAGCACCTGCTACTTCTTTGAAATATCAGAATGAGTTAAAAACAATGCTTGCCAGCAACCCCCCAAGTAGTATAGATGAACATTGGCTTCATGTGCAAGGTGCCATGCAAAAGGCGAGTGTAGCCGCTTGCGGCTTGAAAGAATGCTCCGCTAATGCTTCGCTATTTGTCTGTTCACTTTTATTTGCCTTTCTAAGATATATATCAGGAAATAGTAAAGGCCCCCAGGCAACTCGATGTACAGTTGAACCAAAAGCATACAGCTGCAGTTTAGGCTTTTGTGATTTCATTTTTCGTAGCTTATTAATATCTACAATCTCCACACAACCTGATTCCGTGCCATAAGCAATAACATTCTCAAACTGCGGTAAAGGATGACAAGACAGTGTGGTTATGGAAGATGATTTGTATCCTCGAGGTGATATTGAAACAAACTTTTCTTTGTTTTGATTATCAGAAGAATTTCTTTCGCCAGACGATTCTGGCGCAGGAAATTTCCAAAATAAGATGGAACCGTCTGAAAGACCTGCAACTAAGGGACCATTGCTAAATTCAGATTGAGCTAAAGAGCAAACACCTGCAGATATTGTAGGTACTTTAAGGATCACTGATAGGTTGGATCCTTCCACCAACTGCCAAACAATCAAAAATCTATCTTGACTGGAAGTGATTACCAGTCCTGGTGAATTAAGAAGGTAGTGCATTGAGAAAATTAACATAGAATGTCCCTGACCGTCAAGCGACACGGAGTTAGGCGTTCCTTTGCGATCCCAGTGAAATAATCCACCTCGTACACTTGAGAATAAAACATTCACTGACGAATAGCTTCCCGGTGCGTAGCAAGCAGATATCCATGGAGCTCCATTTTGTTCACTTTTCTGGTTATGTCGTCCAGTATCTCCAAACTGTTGACGTAATTGACCGGGAACTTGGTAAGATGAAGTGCATTCCTAAGTGGTAACATTCCATACCTTTACCATCTGATCACGTCCACATGTAAGAATCTCAGGATCTGACGATGGCGCAGAAGCGCCTTGGCGCCATACAATATGACAGATATCCGCCTCATGAGCATAAAAGCGGGCCAACTGTACGATGCTTGGAGTCGAAGAAATATTCGACGGTTTAAATGAATAAACACCCACAATTCCTTTCTTGTAACCGACAGCAACCCGCGAAATGGAGGGATGTACTGTAGATGTCTTCCATGCACACACAACAGGATCGTTTTCAAATTTTTTAGACACATAGTAAGATTTGTTTGTTTCATAGTCAACAACCCATACTGAAAGCAACCCATTATCTGTGCCCACGAAGCTGTACGACTCATTTGCAGAGTAGGAGAAGCAGCTGTAGGGTTGATACCTCCCCACACTTTTTGTATATTAAACTCCGTCTCCAGCATCCATTCTTGTCTGAAATATCTCCAACGTCGAACCAAACCATCAAAACCACAAGAAACTACGCGTACACTAGCACCCTCATCGAAGGTTATTGCCGATATCGAATGTCACCCCAGAGGCTTCCTTACAGGTCTCTGTCCGCTAGCCCTGGGACGGGATGGAAAAGGCGGAGAGGTGGTCAGTCCATGACGTGGCGTCGTAGGATGAGGGATTTTTGTGCTAGATTAGCATCGGTTGGTGTGTCACGACTCCCTGGTTGGGGTCCGAGAGATAGCTCAAATCGATGGCTCGAAACGTTATCGGATATGGCCAAGAATCGTAATCAGTGGCGAATGTGTCGCAATTTCCTTCTTTCTTCCCTTCCCGATGATAGCTAACGAACACTGTTTGAACTTGTTAAGCATGACTGTTTTCCTTCCAGATGAAGTTCTTTATCCGTTCTCTACTTATATATATTTTTTCTTTTCCTTCCTTCCTTTTTTTTCTTTTTGACCTATGTTGTTTTATAATTATTGTGTGGCGCATCTTTTTTCGTGCCATATTGTACCAAGTTTTTTATGCGTTTAAATAAAAAAAAATAAATAAATAAACCATTTTTCCCATCCTTATTCCATCAAGCTTTATTGTTATTTTACTTCTTATATTTATAATCCTCTCAATTTTTATCCCTCATAAGTGTAAGCATCATTTAAGCCGTGTTATAACTGCTAATTTTGTCTTTACCCTCAGTATGCTAAATCACCAATAATCTATAACATGCTAACATTTCCGAACTGAATCGACAATACTGTTTGAAACAAACTCACTCATTATTATTATTATTATTCTCATTTGTACTTCGAATATTCCTTGACTGTATATCGTAAATGTGGACGAATTCCTCTGGCTTATTTTATTTATATTTTGAGTAAATCAGATGCAATATTGTGACAAATCCTGAGAATTCCATTCTGTATTCTAAGTACTGTTCGTCTTGGAATAAAGCAGATTACTATTATGATTATTATTATTATTATATGCTCACAAAATAAGGTGAGACAGGATTGAAGTAATACAACTGAGTCGAAAGAGAGAATTAGTCAGTGGGAATCAATGCTCGTCAAGTCAGTATTCAGTATGTGTGATGGTGATGTCTCAACATTCCATTATGGGTGAAATTTATTTTGATAAAGTCTGATAGTGTCACTTAGACAAAATAATATAATTCACAAATTACCCTACAATGACTGTGAGTAAGGTCAAGTACACAGGTCAGTCAAACTAATAGTGGGTCAGTGGTAGTCAGATTGTCGGAACATAAGAATTTAGCTAAGGTGAGAATGGTTGACCCCGAAAAGATAAGCAATTTAGAAAACAGCTCAGCATTACATTGCACTGCATCCATGAATTAACACACAACCACACAATAGGGTGGTGTGAGATGGTTGAAATTATGAGAAGTAATCTAGGTAAGTGGAGAGAGAGAGAGAAAGGAATGACTCATCGCTCATATCAGAAATATGGAAAATACTACCACTACCACTAATCAAGTCAAGCGATGAATAATAGTGGAATTACATAAACAAAGTTAGAAGGTTGTGTGAATAGTACCTTGATTTGAACATATGCGTCTATAAATTGCGCTCGAAACGTAGTGATCGGTGAACATGTTACTGTATAACAAATACTGTGAGACTTCATCAAAATAAATTTCACCCATAATGGAATGTTGAGACATCACCATCACACATACTGAATACTGACTTGACGAGCATTGATTCCCACTGACTAATTCTCTCTTTCGACTCAGCTGTATTACTTCAATCCTGTCCCACACTACTTTGTGATTATATAATAATAATAATCATAATAGTAATCTGCTTTATTCCAAGACGAACAGTACTTAGAATACAGAATGGAATTCTCAGGATTTGTCACAATATTGCATCTGATTTACTCAAAATATAAATAAAATAAGCCAGAGGAATTCGTCCACGTTTACGATATACAGTCAAGGAATATTCGAAGTACAAATGAGAATAATAATAATAATAATGAGTGAGTTTGTTTCAAACAGTATTGTCGATTCAGTTCGGAAATGTTAGCATGTTATAGATTATTGGTGATTTAGCATACTGAGGGTAAAGACAAAATTAGCAGTTATAACACGGCTTAAATGATGCTTACACTTATGAGGGATAAAAATTGAGAGGATTATAAATATAAGAAGTAAAATAACAATAAAGCTTGATGGAATAAGGATGGGAAAAATGGTTTATTTATTTATTTTTTTTTATTTAAACGCATAAAAAACTTGGTACAATATGGCACGAAAAAAGATGCGCCACACAATAATTATAAAACAACATAGGTCAAAAAGAAAAAAAAGGAAGGAAGGAAAAGAAAAAATATATATAAGTAGAGAACGGATAAAGAACTTCATCTGGAAGGAAAACAGTCATGCTTAACAAGTTCAAACAGTGTTCGTTAGCTATCATCGGGAAGGGAAGAAAGAAGGAAATTGCGACACATTCGCCACTGATTACGATTCTTGGCCATATCCGATAACGTTTCGAGCCATCGATTTGAGCTATCTCTCGGACCCCAACCAGGGAGTCGTGACACACCAACCGATGCTAATCTAGCACAAAAATCCCTCATCCTACGACGCCACGTCATGGACTGACCACCTCTCCGCCTTTTCCATCCCGTCCCAGGGCTAGCGGACAGAGACCTGTAAGGAAGCCTCTGGGGTGACATTCGATATCGGCAATAACCTTCGATGAGGGTGCTAGTGTACGCGTAGTTTCTTGTGGTTTTGATGGTTTGGTTCGACGTTGGAGATATTTCAGACAAGAATGGATGCTGGAGACGGAGTTTAATATACAAAAAGTGTGGGGAGGTATCAACCCTACAGCTGTTTCTCCTACTCTGCAAATGAGTCGTACAGCTTCGTGGGCACAGATAATGGGTTGCTTTCAGTATGGGTTGTTGACTATGAAACAAACAAATCTTACTATGTGTCTAAAAAATTTGAAAACGATACTGTTGTGCATGGAAGAAATCTACAGTACATCCCTCCATTTCGCGGGTTGCTGTCGGTTACAAGAAAGGAATTGTGGGTGTTTATTCATTTAAACCGTCGAATATTTCTTCGACTCCAAGCATCGTACAGTTGGCCCGCTTTTATGCTCATGAGGCGGATATCTGTCATATTGTATGGCGCCAAGGCGCTTCTGCGTCATCGTCAGATCCTGAGATTCTTACATGTGGACGTGATCAGATGGTAAAGGTATGGAATGTTACCACTTAGGAATGCACTTCATCTTACCAAGTTCCCGGTCAATTACGTCAACAGTTTGGAGATACTGGACGACATAACCAGAAAAGTGAACAAAATGGAGCTCCATGGATATCTGCTTGCTACGCACCGGGAAGCTATTCGTCAGTGAATGTTTTATTCTCAAGTGTACGAGGTGGATTATTTCACTGGGATCGCAAAGGAACGCCTAACTCCGTGTCGCTTGACGGTCAGGGACATTCTATGTTAATTTTCTCAATGCACTACCTTCTTAATTCACCAGGACTGGTAATCACTTCCAGTCAAGATAGATTTTTGATTGTTTGGCAGTTGGTGGAAGGATCCAACCTATCAGTGATCCTTAAAGTACCTACAATATCTGCAGGTGTTTGCTCTTTAGCTCAATCTGAATTTAGCAATGGTCCCTTAGTTGCAGGTCTTTCAGACGGTTCCATCTTATTTTGGAAATTTCCTGCGCCAGAATTGTCTGGCGAAAGAAATTCTTCTGATAATCAAAACAAAGAAAAGTTTGTTTCAATATCACCTCGAGGATACAAATCATCTTCCATAACCACACTGTCTTGTCATCCTTTACCGCAGTTTGAGAATGTTATTGCTTATGGCACGGAATCAGGTTGTGTGGAGATTGTAGATATTAATAAGCTACGAAAAATGAAATCACAAAAGCCTAAACTGCAGCTGTATGCTTTTGGTTCAACTGTACATCGAGTTGCCTGGGGGCCTTTACTATTTCCTGATATATATCTTAGAAAGGCAAATAAAAGTGAACAGACAAATAGCGAAGCATTAGCGGAGCATTCTTTCAAGCCGCAAGCGGCTACACTCGCCTTTTGCATGGCACCTTGCACATGAAGCCAATGTTCATCTATACTACTTGGGGGGTTGCTGGCAAGCATTGTTTTTAACTCATTCTGATATTTCAAAGAAGTAGCAGGTGCTACCAGTTTGCTCACATCAACGCTTAGACGACGGCTTTTACGAACCCCACCAAATCGCAAGACGAACTTGGCACACACTAACGCATGATCGGAGTCCAGGCATGTGCTCCAGAATGAGCGACAGTCTTGTATGCATCCTCGCCACCGGAAACTCACCGCGATATGATCAATCTGAGTCCAAGCTTGCTTCGCAGAGGGAGGACGCCAGGTAGCGCTACGGCGATGGCTGTGCCGGAAGTTGGTGCTAGCTAGAAATAGGTTGTGATCCGCGCAAAGCTGCAGAAGACGGTCCCCATTATCTGACCTGCGACCATGTAGTCCCCACTGACCACCTAGACGATTCTCCTCTGAGCTTAGACGCCCCACCTGTGCATTCAAGTCCCCAGCCAGCACTACGATATCCCTCCGACCCGCCTGTTTCAAGAGATCGCTCAGTTGGTAGTAAAACTCATCCTTCATTGCATCCGGGCTGCAATCCGTCGGTGCATAGGCAGAGACAACAAATAGACACCGCCTATCTGGCCTACTACTCTTTACTTTCGTATAACCTTCCAGCCTCACAGCACATAAACGACTGTTAGTGGGAATCCAGTCGAGCAGTGCAGCTTCGGCTCTAGTGCTCAGTGCGACACCGACACCAGCTACGCCGGATGCCGACGCCACAGGGTCCCCGGATAAGCGCAGGTGGTACATACTACTAGAACTTCCAGATGGAGAGGATAGTCGAAGCACTTCACTGGGATCTTGAATGCGGGTCTCCGAAATGCAGCAGACATCGATAGCGAGGCTTTCCAAAGTTCTTGCCAACCCTGCCTGTTGTCCGATTTGCATCAGCGTCCGAACATTGTAGGTAGCCAGCTTGAACGCAGCACGCAGTTTCAGGATATCCGTGTTAGATGTCACATTGGGAACAACCATTTTGAGGACTACTCACTAACATCTCGAAACGACACGGATAGGCTGGGAATCTCGACAAAGGCGAAAGGCTGTCGAAGGTTAAGAAGCCAAGGTTAGAAAAGGTACAATACAGGAAACTATGTATAAAAATAAAAGTAGGGTAGGAAGGAAATAAGTTCCTTGAGGGATCAATATTGCTTGGAATCATTTATACTAGCGCGCGTTGAGTTTCAATGGGAGTTCGTTGCTTTAATTCATTCATTGTGTGCGGGCTGAGATACTGCCCGGGCGCCCAGACCGAAGCAGGTGGTTTTATTAAGGGACCACCCCCCGAGCCTTTGACTTGGAGTCTAATCCGCAAGGCAGTGGAGCAGCGTCAGGAGCTGCATTCCCATGGTTGCCGGTGACCCATGTGGGTTCATACGCCATTTGATCCGATTGGAAACTGGAGCCCATGTACCCCATGGTAACTGCTTTTAGTTTAACCGCTATCCAGAAAACCTTCCTGACATAGTAGGACCTGTAGAGACAGAGTCCCAGTCAGTTCAGCTTGTTGGGTAATTGCGGTATTCAAGCCCGACCACCACGACAAGGTAGCAGTTATCGGCCGGTGCAAAGAAGTTTAGGTAGTTAGTTCATGCCTGACACTATTTTCATCAAATAAATTACGTGCCAGAGAAGATATTGTGGAATTTTTCTACTTAGACGTACAAGCACAAAGTCTTCTGAAAAGACTTCTTGTTTTACCTGAGGAGACACAAGGTTGGAGTTGCGAGTGCTACAGTGGATGCTCACAGTCTGACAAAATTATTGTAGCAAATGTGTTGCATAAAATCAAGTGGCTATCGGTGACAATGTCAACGACATGATGGCCCAATGGGATACCACCACTCGCCCTACTGACTGACAGTCTTCAGAGTTCTACGAAGCATGATACAAGTGTGCGCATAACAGCGGGTGACATTTTCTTTTCCCGATTACTTTGTGTCAGACTGGGTTTATCATTCTACATTTAGCCAAATTTACATTTTCTGATGACTTGGGTGATGCCAGTTGACTGGCTTGGCTCATGTAGGTTCAAATGGCTTATGATAGGTCCTATCTGAAGCAACTTCTCAGACAAGTATAACAGTAAACAAGGACTGAAAGTAACCAACAATTTGCTAAATTATTCAACAGACCCAGGGTTATGAGTGAACTAGTATTTGGATTCATTTACTCTGATGCACTTGAGTAGCCTGGCAACATGTGCGTCGGTGGCACAGTGGTTAGGACTCTCACCGACCATGCACATGGTCCGGAGTTCGAGCCCGCACCGACGCACACCTGATATCTATGGTCGGCCTGCAAAATTTGGGCTACCGATATCCATGCTGAAAATTCCATACTTGTACCAAAAATACAGTGTGGAATCAAGCTGTAAATCAAAAATATATATATATTTAGTTCACACAAATTCAGCTCCTAATACTTTAATGTCTAATGGAGTATGGATACAGAACAGTGGTTAATTAGACTTTCAATACTCTCCTCCTATGTTGAAGCCCAGGTGACCAGACAATGAAAAGAATGGTATTGCTCCAGATACACTTCTAGGCTCCCATCTCTCTCTGTCTTTCTCTATCGCTCTATCGAAATCTCAGCACGAATACAGGGGGCTCGTTTCGCATTTGCCAGTTTACGCCGACTCTGGCGTATACGTGATATCCGACTATCGACCAAAGGGCGGGTGTACTGCTCATCAGTCCGCTCCGTCCTCCTTTATGGTTGTGAGACCTGGCCACTGAGAGTAGAAGACATGAAAAGACTAGCTGTCTTTGATCATAGGTGCCTGCGCTCTATTTCCCGTGTAGAGTGGCATAATAAGGTGAGCAACATGGAGGTTAGGCGTAGAGTTCTAGGTAAACAGAGGAAATCAATCGACGAAGTCGTGAAGCTACAAAGACTGAGATGGTTAGGACATGTTTTACGTATGCCAAGTCATCGCCTCCCTCGACGAGCTATGTTAGCGGATATAGGGTCAGGCTGGAAAAAAGCTAGCGGAGGTCAAACAAAAACTTGGCACCAGTCAATGAAATCCACAACAGTTGGTCTAAGCCACGTAGGAAGGTGTAGACTTCCAGGCTGGGGTTCTCGAGACGGTAAAAATCAATGGTTGGAAACAATTGGTGACATGGCTCAAAATGATCGTTCTCAGTGGCGCAGATGCATCCACTCCTTGTGACTGATGATTTCCAATGAAAATGTGTGTTTTGTTCTTCGTTATTACTCTTCGTTTGTCTCACACCTCTATTTACTGTCTCTATTATGCTTTTCTTGTACTTTCTTCTCTTGCTTCGTGTGCTACACGGAGTATGGCGACTTGAACTGCCGCACAAATGTGCAAAGTTCTATGTCGAAAACAGACAGACAGACTTTACTCTCAGGATGCTAAATCACCAAAACGTTAGATTCAATAATCTATAACATGCTAACATTTCCGAACTGAATCGACAATACTGTTTGAAACAAACTCACTCATTATTATTATTATTATTCTCATTTGTACTTCGAATATTCCTTGACTGTATATCGTAAACGTGGACGAATTCCTCTGGCTTATTTTATTTATATTTTGAGTAAATCAGATGCAATATTGTGACAAATCCTGAGAATTCCATTCTGTATTCTAAGTACTGTTCGTCTTGGAATAAAGCAGATTACTATTATTATTATTATTATTATATAATCACAAAGTAGTGTGGGACAGGATTGAAGTAATACAGCTGAGTCGAAAGAGAGAATTAGTCAGTGGGAATCAATGCTCGTCAAGTCAGTATTCAGTATGTGTGATGGTGATGTCTCAACATTCCATTATGGGTGAAATTTATTTTGATGAAGTCTCACAGTATTTGTTATACAGTAACATGTTCACCGATCACTACGTTTCGAGCGCAATTTATAGACGCATATGTTCAAATCAAGGTACTATTCACACAACCTTCTAACTTTGTTTATGTAATTCCACTATTATTCATCGCTTGACTTGATTAGTGGTAGTGGTAGTATTTTCCATATTTCTGATATGAGCGATGAGTCATTCCTTTCTCTCTCTCTCTCCACTTACCTAGATTACTTCTCATAATTTCAACCATCTCACACCACCCTATTGTGTGGTTGTGTGTTAATTCATGGATGCAGTGCAATGTAATGCTGAGCTGTTTTCTAAATTGCTTATCTTTTCGGGGTCAACCATTCTCACCTTAGCTAAATTCTTATGTTCCGACAATCTGACTACCGCTGACCCACAATTAGTTTGACTGACCTATGTAGTTCACCTTACTCACAGTCATTGTAGGGTAATTTGTGAATTATATTATTTTGTCTCATCGGGTCAACCGACAGGGTCATTTAACCTACAGAGCTTGTTATAAGAATAAAAACTTGTGCGCTATGGTTGAGTAAAATTCCATTATGGATCAACTTTTTTTTTGATAAAGTCTCATAGTGTCACTTAGACAAAATAATATAATTCACAAATTACCCTACAATGACTGTGAGTAAGGTCAAGTACACAGGTCAGTCAAAGTAATAGTGGGTCAGTGGTAGTCAGATTGTCGGAACATAAGAATTTAGCTAAGGTGAGAATGGTTGACCCCGAAAAGATAAGTAATTTAGAAAACAGCTCAGCATTACATTGCACTGCATCCATGAATTAACACACAACCACACAATAGGGTGGTGTGAGATGGTTGAAATTATGAGAAGTAATCTAGGTAAGTGGAGAGAGAGAGAGAAAGGAATGACTCATCGCTCATATCAGAAATATGGAAAATACTACCACTACCACTAATCAAGTCAAGCGATGAATAATAGTGGAATTACATAAACAAAGTTAGAAAATTGTGTGGGTGGTGCCTTCATGTGATATGATTATGAACAGTAATGAGTTGTGCTCGAACCCTGGTCATTAGTAAACAATTTATTGTATAACAAGCACTGTGAGACATTATCAAAATAAATCTTACGGATAATGTAATTATACTGTACTACAGTGCACAAGTTTTATCCTTATACTAATGATGTCCCGTCGTTGTAACACATAACACGTAGAAGAACTGCGCCAGAGCATGTTAAAAGGCTCTATGGCTGGTAAATTGTTCTCCAAAAAACGTCACCTTCTAACTAATACTATTTCACTGTGTATTATCTTAAATAAATTTGAATAAAGCGAGAACAACATTGATTTGTGCAGAATAACATGGTACCATCATTTATTTCGTTGGCTTCTCGTCAGCTGCTTACAGCCTAAATAAATTTTCAGGTTTAAGTACAGAAACGTTTTAACGTACTTGCAAATTTTACATGTTGACAGAAAGTTTCACAACTAGTAAACAGTGCTCAGAAAAATTGCGCTAATATAGTTTTTACACAGGCAGTTCAAGTTAAAAAATTAATAAATAAATGTATGTATATAATGGTAAGGGATGTGCGTTGGATGCATAGTGACTAATAAGTTAGGTAACAATGTACTGAGTTCAACTCAAATCATAGAAACAAGAGACAAGCAAAATTACAGATTTTAAAAGGAGGGTGAGGTTAAAGACAAAGATTACGCAATTAGATGGGAGAAAAAAGACATCCAGTTACCAAGGCAAGGAAAGACTAATAACTGATTCTTTCTGAACACATAGATCTGGTTTCAAGCGTTTGATAGAAATTGCTTCGGCAAACTTGAGGAGATTGGAGCTCCTTTGTCTATTGATAATTTTGAAGGATTTCTCGATTTCCACCTCATGACCCGTGTCGAGGAGATGTCTGGTAATAGCGCTGCTATAAGAGTTTGTTCCCTTGAGACGTAGGCTTTTCGGCACATGTTCAGAAAATCGGAGGTGTGCCCTTCTTTCTGTTCTCCCAATGTAACTGCTCCCGCAGATACACGTAAATTTGTATACACAGTTGGAGTTAACATGAGAAGGGTATCTATCGACTTTTGACTGCACCAAAGAGCATGTTGTTCGGTGGACGGGAACCAACTTAGCTGCAGGATAGGCTCTGGCTAGTGACGTCCTCAGTCTTCTGTTGACCATTTCTGCAATGTCTTCACCTTTAAAGTCTAGTTGAATGAAGACAGGCTTTTTTTCGACTGTGATTTGTTTGGTATTTGGGCCTTCACATCTTCCATATTTATTAATGAATTTTTGAGTATAGCCGTTGTTTTTCAGCACCTTTTCGAGATTCGTGAATTCTTCCTCTAGTTTCTCTGCAGAGCATATTCTCCTCGCTCTATAGTACAGAGTCTTGACTAGTGCTCGTTTATAGCTATTTGGACAAAAACTATTAAAATGTAAGTATTGTCCATTCCATGTGGGCTTTCGGTAGATTGACCTCTGGAGGCTACCATCTTCTAGGCGTTTTATGGCGACGTCAAGGAAATGGAACTGTCCATCATTTTCATGTTCCATAGTAAATACAATATTTGTATGTGCGTTGTTGAATAGTCTGAGTAGGTAGGAGGCATGACTTTCGTTGTTGCATACTACAAATGTGTCATCGACATATCGCCAATAGGAAGTTGTTTGATCAATTGCATGCTTCAGCTTTGTTTTCTCAAGGTTTGACATAAAGATATCTGCTAAAACAGGGCTAAGTGGACTGCCCATAGCTACACCATCTATTTGTCGGTAAAGAGTGTTGTCAAACTGGAATTGTACACCCATGGTACACATTAGCAGTAGGCGTTTGAATTCCGGCTCTGGTAGTGGGAGAAGATCAGACTGTTGACAAATGATTTCAATGGTTTCATTGATTAAATAAAGTAAGATAATGAGACAAAAATAAATGCAGACTAAGTAGATTTGTTTTTAAAACAAACGGCACATGTTAATAAAGTAGAATTTTTTTTTTTTTAAATTATCAATTTTTTTTCATTTGAAAGTTAATACCTACAGTGAATATTTTTGTATATATTGTTGTTGTACCCTTCATTGATTTAGTATAACACATCGATTCACGTGATTCGTGCTCTATTGGCATTCGAAGCTGATCCATGCGCTGTAAATAACAATCAGCATAGCTGTCGACACTTACTTTGTCGTGATTCTGAAAGGTTAGTTGCTAGTTAGTTAACCTTGAAATTTTGCTTACTACGTTTTCTTTTTCTGCCTTATCGATTGATTGACGATTTCACATTGCTGTATTAAAAATGTGTTGTCATGGAGTGTTCTGTGACATAAATCAAATTCACAGTTTGCAATCCAGACACCCGAATCGGGGTTGTTTGAACTTGTTCGGCTCAGTCTCTCTCTCTCTCCCTCAGCTGAGTTAAACCGCGGGTGCACAGCTGATGAGCTTGATGTCGACTGTGCCAAACGCTGAACTGGAACTGGCTGGCAAGCACTACTTGTTGATGTATGAGTGTTACTCATTTTAGTCAGTCAATTAGTAGTGCATAGTTCTGTAGCTTCATTATAAAAATTAGAAAATTTTGTAAAAAAAATCCTAAACGTTTCGTTGTGTAGAGCACAGCTTCTTCAGGAGAATTACTCGAAAATCCCCTTTTTGTTACAACGTGATCAGTATTAGCTGATTTGGGATTCACTTTTGCCAATTTAATGTTTTAAAACTGAAAACAAAAAGTGTTGTGTTCAGTGATAACCGAAAGGATGTTAAACTCTAATAAAATGACTGCTGTTGGAAGTGTTTTACTTCATGCTTCCATACCCTATGATCAGACAATGCAAAGCATCACAGGACATGATGGAGTGACTCCGAACGGAGGGCGGTTGGGCGAAACTGTTATCTGGGTTGACTAAGGTATTGCGTAATGTCAGAGATTTAAGTGCAGCTCTGTTAGATCGGTATAAATCATTGATTATCCCAATTTATGAGATGGGAGACAAGTCTTCCTATGATAATTGTAGGTACATAAGCATGACTAATAACTGTGTAAAGTTGTAGGTTCAATAATCATGCGTAGACAAATTCAACTGCTGAACTTCTCTGTAAAGTTTTCTTTACGATGAAGCTCAGTCGATCAAATCCTATGATTGTTCACGCAATTCTGAAGACATTCAGTAGACATTGTCAATCTTCTCTTGGGTGGTCTCTCGGTAAAATCTTCAAAGTTTACGAGAACCTAAAGGAAATCTACTCCAATATACTCATTACTTGGCTTTAACATTCTTGTCTGTGGTTGTCGTTTCACCAGACCAACCAACTTTTTGATAGACTGGTTTCGTATTGCTGTCTTTTACATTGAAGGACATTTATCGTGTGCATCGTTTTAATGGAAATTGTCCACAGAAATAGTGTTATTTAGTTAAATGATTTCATCATGAGCTGACATTGGTTAGAGAACCATTGGAAAAACCTGAGAGTACTGGACAGCTGTTTCCATTTTCCTAGTTTGGGACTTTTCTGCAGTACGCCGAACCCACCGGGGTTCGAAACCAGGACCTTCGGGTTACAAGGCTAGCGAGCTCGTAGACCATTAAGCCACTGGGACCTGATCAATGGTTCATGAATTCCAACTTCTGTTAGTTAGTGCTGTGACCAACTACTAATGTTCAGACGGATACCTGTTAACATTGATGAACGGTCAGCAGCTGACTAGTCAATTCCATGGCTTCACGTAGGCATTCGGAAGAGATATTCGATGATATGTAAGCGTGTATTCAAGAACCCGGCTGACAGATAGTTAATAATATAATTTCAATAGTGATATTCAAAGTAAAATCATGTCAACAAACTCTGCTGCAACATAGGCTCAGTAGCAGCCATCTGTCACTGTATTGAAGTCTGTGTGATTGTTTCCCTGACTAATAAATAAATAAATAAATAATTATTAAGGAATGGATACTGAACAAAGAGTACTCTTTTCGATAACCTGCTCTTCATCAGGCTCCATCCATAATAGTGAATGAATGAATGAATTAGTGTTATGAACAACACCATCAATGTTGTTCATAATTCAATGAAGCGCATTCGGCTATGAAATTCACGTGTGAAGAGGAATCCCAAAATAGAATTGCCTTCCTAGATGTCCTCTTTACAAGAAAGTCAGATGGAAGTATAAAGAGAAATTAGCTTAGGAAAAGCACATGGACAGACAATATACACAATCTCACAGCTTCTTTCCTCTAAAGTACGGAAGAAATTTAGTTAAGACCCTCAGCCACAGAGTTAGAGCTATATGCTCAGAAGAAGTAACTGAAGATGAAGTAAGCATTGTATATGATACTTTGATCGAAAATAGCTATCCTGACAAAATCATGGAGAAACACATGACAAGGAAAGCGGAAAAAGACTACTCACTATTTGTAAACAAGAAGCATTTATACATACGACTGCAATTCAAGGGGGATACACCAAGTGAAATGATTACGAAGAAATTAAGAAAATCAGTTCAAAGATCTTTTAATGCTGGCGAATTACGCGTTTTATTCTCTACAAGTCCGATGGTGATTACTCTACTGAAAGATGAAGTACCTAGACTAGCTGGCCACTTCAAATGTATCTACCAATTCAACTGCGCTTGTGGTGGGGTAAGTTATATCGGCCGTTGCTCTAGGAACTTGATTTTTCGTACTCGAGAATATCTCCCAATATACCTAAGTAAAGGTGCAGTAAAATTCATCAACACTTCGATATTAAACCATCTGGTGCAAACCAGTCACAATGACAGCCAGAATTGAAAAGTCCTCCAACATTATCATCTATCGGGTACCAAACTAATTACCAAAAATATATAGGTACCACATACTCGAAACAATAGAGGCTGTCGCGATTCGCCTGGAAAAACCAGTCCTCACAGTGCGCAGAAGAAGCAAGTCCAGCTAGCCAGCCAGTCGGCCACTAACTGCTACAGCCTTGACCGGTCTTCAGTGACACTATAAGTTCATGAATGTATATTATTATCTCTCCTAATTTTTCTGATATTCAGCGTGTAATGTTATGTTGATGCTGTCGAACTGTAATCCTTTGCATAACAACGGGATACAAGACACTGAAGCCAAGGTGTAAATATCTTCAAGTGATCAAACCGTCATTTATGTAATTGCAAAAATATAAAGATTAAATTGGTTACCGACCTGCGGGTAAGTTATATCAAGGTTAAACAATACTCAAGGCTTGTCAACCAACCAATCAACTAAGTCTAAAACAGAATATTTTCGTAATATATTTTTTTAAATTAAAAAAAGTATCCAGATGAGATAAATTATTTTCTTGTTTTTCTTATATTTTCTGTTTTGTCTATTGCTGTTCAACTTTCAGATATATACATTCAGATGAACGGTAAGCTAGCTGGATTATCTTTTCTTGTTATTTGTTGTTATTATTGTTGGGTACATTGCTGTCTGCTCTGTTTTATCTTGCTTTATGGCGTTTCTTGTTTTAACACGATAACAGCTTTGCGTGGATATACCTACATATATGTACTCAGTCAACTTTACAGTAATTTTGATGGATGACATCAATCACTAGTAACAGAAGTTGCATAAATTTCTTTTCTGTATAAACACTGTATCGTTTTTCTGTCTTTGATATTTTTTTTATTGATAACATTGTAGTGATATTCTGATGGATTCAAGTGATGGCTTTCCTCTTCTTTTTTTGTGGCAGTAGTATAGTTGTCGCACAGTGGTAGAGTGCTTGCGGACCACACACCTCATGTGATCGGAGGTTCGATCCCTGGCCACTGACGCACTTCCCTTTACCTCGATAAGTCAGTAGTAAGACTGGTAAAGAGGGAAGATTGGGCTGGGCGTGAGGCTAGCAACTCCATCCTGTAAACCAGAAATAATCACCACTGCTACGGAAACTTCAAGCCTCTTAGCTTGACGCCCCCGCTATGTTCCACTGGGAATGTAAAGGGGATAGTAGTTGTTAATTTTTATTCAAGTCTTTATTTGTATTGTTGTTCCACTGTACGGAAGGTAGAGAAGGTATTACCCCTCGCCCACGAAGTTTGTTTATACCTAATGCGATACAACTCCTTACTCAAATTATCACTTGCATTCACAAGCGAAAACTCAGAGAAGCGTTTAAAGTGAAGACAGGAGTAAGACAAGGCTGTCTATCTATTATCAATCATGATGATGGTGGTGGACTAGGTCATTTGGAAGGTATGTCGACTTCACGAAGAAGAATTGCACGTGAAAACCGACAGGTTGATAGAAAAGGTTGGCTGTGAAGGAAGAGATGAAGGATAGGTACCCTGTGACCAACAACAATAACGAGCTATGGGGAGGGAGAATTTTGAAGGAGTTCACTTCTATCATTTTCAGTCAGCATCGTTTCAAAGGTCTACGACAGCGTCGTCCGAGCGGTGATTTGGAAACTACTTTGCTACTACGTGGTGCCGCCGACAATTATATATCTCATCCAACAGTTTTACGACAGTGCAGCGTACCAAGTAATCTACAACGGGAAACTTACGGAATCCTTCGTAGTAAAGACGGGATTTTCGTGATTGGGGTAGATTGAATAATGCGACAGACAACGGCAACCAACGAGGGAACAGGCATAAAATGGACTCACACAAAAGTAGAACTAGGAGGATCTGGACTTCGCCGATGATATATTTCTGATTTCCCACAAAATGGAAGATATGCAAGGGTCATGGGTGCATACTCCGCTGTCCAGTACTCCCTGGTTTTCAGTGGTCCCCTAAACGACTTCAGTTCATCATCTAACATGAAATCATTCAAATACCAGCAAACTGCCGCTTAAATATTGATGCAAATAGTCGACAAGATGCTCAGAGGTTATCTCTGATGTGAACACCAGTAGTTATTGTAACTTCAGACAGCAACTGTGCATAAGATTTACCACAACTAAAGGAATTCAATCGTCACGTAATAAATACTTTCGATACTTCCTTTACAGCCAAACATTTTTTACCTCATTTCTCGATTGATGGAGTCAAGTGCCACCTTCCAATTAAGGAAAATTACAAATTTCGGTCACTGGTAAGGGTATGAGTGTTCCAGATGCTATCAAAGAATGGAGATAGGATCAAAAATACACTCTTATCAGATCCTAAAGCAGCCTTACTTTCCACGGGTTTCTATGAACTATAGAATTTTAAATATTGTGTTAGTCAACCTATTCCCTTGATGATTATTCTGTCTGTCTGTTTTCGACATAGAACTTTGCACCGATATGCAGCAGTTCAAGTCGCCACACTCCCTTCATGTAGCACACAAATCAAGAGAAGAAAGTAGAAGAAATGCATAATAGAGACAGTAAACAGAGGTGTGAGACAAAGGAATAGTACTAACGAAGAACAATATAGTTTCATTGGAAATCATAAGTCACAAGGAGTAGATGCATCTGCACCAGCCATTGAGAACGATTTTGAGTCATATCACCAATAGTTTCCAACTACCTTTCTCCCCTCTTATGATACCTCACACGGTGGTATGACAAAATCTACTAACGAAAAATATCAAATACGCTAAACAATGGCTTCTGACTCCTTGTGGTAATGACAAAGGTAAACAATTGCGTTTTAGGGTTTATACATAACCAATAAGTATGCCTAATTTAAGATACAGTGCATATTAATAAGCCGTGATAAATGTGTGAGAGGAAAAACACACTAAGTCTACCTGTCATTTGTATATGCATGATGCTACAATCCTTGGTGATTATTACGAGAAAATTTGTTCTTTTTGGTGTAAACTGATAATTATCAGTAATCTACATCAGTGTCTTAGATCTGTGTTGAGTTCTCAACTAATTTCTTTTATTCCCTTTACGTCCCCAGTGGAACATTGGGCTTCAAATTAAGAGACTTGAAATTCCTGTAGCAGTGGTGATTATTTTTACGGGATGGGGTTGCCAGCCTCACGCCCAGCCCAACCTTCCCTCTTAACTAGTCTTATTGTTGGTTTAGCTAGGTAGAGGAGTGCGCCAGTGGCCGGGAAACAAACCCCGGACGACATGAGGTATGGTCGGTGAGCATTCTACCGATGTGCCGCCGATGCACTGTCAAATGATAAATAGCCAATAATTCATCATCACCATTCTTTAACCCCTATGTTGTCATACTATCAGATGCGCTGATGCCTCACCTGGATTTAGATTTCAGATGGCCCTTGTAACGTTGGTTGTAGGTTGAGAATAAATGTCTACGTTCCATTTAAGATGATAGTGGAAAACAACAAGAGTTCCGCCTCTCCCCCATCCTGAAAAAAAGTTTCAAAGATTCCAAACTAAAGTGACTCAGTGTGCTACACCATGTAGATATGCGTACCACATTGTGTATGGAAATAAAATTCAAGCTGAACACGTTGAATTCACTATGCCAGCCTATATAAGTAATCTTAAAGCCAGACTGAGTGTTTTATTTAAGTAAGTTGTTGATGCAGTCAATCACTTTCTATTTGTGTGCACTGCTTTAAAGCATCGCAGAACTATAATTGACAAAGCTTGAAAATGTTCGGTGAAGTGTATCTGAGACTACAAGATGAAGTCGTCTTTCGAGATGAATTAATGATTGAAAGTGGTACAGAAAAATGACTGACGCTTCTTTCTTCCCTGATGCTCCACTTATAACTTACTTAACTAGTCCTACTGCCGATTTTCGGTAATTTAAATGGATGTGCTAATAATAATAATAGTCTACTTTATTCCAAAAACATTACTTGTATTACAGAACGGGATTCTCAGCATTTGTCACAATATTGCATCTGAATTACTCAAAATATAATATAATATAATGTATAATTCAGTTTGGAAATGTTAGCATGTTATAGATTATTGGACCTGATGTTCTGTTGATATAGTATGGTGAGGGGAAATACAAGATTAACAGTTATAACACAGCCTAAATTATGTTCACACTTATGAAAAAAAGTAGACAAAAAATTGAGAGTATTGTAAATATAAGAAATACAATAATAATAAGTTTGATGGTGTAAGGGTGGAAGAAATGGTTTATTTAGTAGTGCAAGAAGGTTAGGTAATTCATGTCTGACACTATTCTCATCCCATAAAGTACGTGCTAAATATGGTATAGTGGAATTTTTATACTTAGATGTACGTGCCTAAGTTTTTCTAAAAAGACTTCTCGTTTCACCTGAGGAGACACAAGGTTGGAGTTGCGAGTGCTACAGTGGATACTCACAGTCTGACAAAATTCTTGTAGCAAATTTTTTACATGACATCAAGTGCCTTTCAGTGACAATGTCAACGATGTGGCCCAATGGGATACCACCACTCGCCCTACTGACTGACAGTCTTCAGAGTTCTACGAGGTATGACATAGTCTTTTTAAGCAATCCAAGAAAGAATAAGCAGGGGTGAACAGTAAAGAAGAATAGGTAAGATTCACGAGTTGACAAAGTGCAAGAGGAGTGGTTGGGTTATGCCTGAGTGCCTTAACTTCTTAATGTAAACAGTTAGACTACGAAATCGATAAGACATGTGAAGACCAGAATAGGTCAAAAGGAAGAATTAATCCAAGATACTTAACTTCAAACTTGATTTTTATAACAGTATCATCAATTTTGCAAGGTCATAGGAACCAACGGCTTCATTTAACTTTCGCTTACATCGGAAACTGAAATTAACAGTCTGATATTTGGAAGAATTTATTTTGAGGCCGTTAGAGGAAGACCATTTGCCAATATACATTCGGTCTACATTGACTTTATTATATGTAATTAAAGATTATGCACCGACTATCATTTTGTTTGCCAACCAGATGTTTGTTGTCTGTGTAGTCGTTGTTTTATGCAATCAATCAACCTGATATATTTTATTTTAAAAAAGAAGTTGAGTGTGAAATACCAAAAACGCAGTTCAGTATTGTTTGTTTGTTGTTTTTTTCTTCATTGTGTAGGGTTGGTATGCCAGTGTGTTAGTGTTTTAAAGACGGAACAAAACAGTCTCTCTCTGTCCCTCACACACATACACACGACTGAAAAACACATATTAATCGTTGCCTTAATTACTCCAGTACAAGTTTTGAATGGAGTATTTCAAGAATGTTTTTAGATAATGAATCAATAACAAAGTTAAAATATTCAGGTTGTAATTAAGCTTCTTCAACGTGAATCTCAGTCGTCAGATGAGTTTTGCTGTGTAACTCCGTATTTTTCCCGATTACTTCCAAATATTTTTGGCGTATCAAAGATAGACCGTGAAGTGGACATAGAGAAAACAGAGGTGGGTGATGAAGATTCCTGGCCACTAACAACAAACAGCAATCAACCAGCATAAATTGGAGAAATTTGAAAGAAGCAACCTCCTTTACCTACCTACCTACCTACCTAGCTGTCTACCTGGGAAGCATCGTTTCAACTACAGGCGGACAGGACTGATGAGGATATCGAAGCAAAGATCGGGAAAGTAAGGGAAGCTTTCATTTCTCTAAAGTCTGTGTGGATGTCAGCAGCATTATGCATGAAAAATAAGATCCAGATTTTCAACTTCATACGGATTAGAGACTTGCGCTGCGCGTCATGAAGAGCATGGCTCAAAGTGGTAGTTTTTGGTGATGTCTGGCGCAGATGCATGCAGTCTTTGTAATTTACCATATCCAATAAAATTCTATTGTTCCTCCATATAACTATTCGTCTGCCTCACATTCGTGTTGATTATACGTCTCTGATTTGAATTTCTCTTTACCCTCTGATGTTATTTGCTTTGTTTGGTATGTGAAGGGAGTGTGGGGCAACTCGAACTACTGCACATCTGTGAAATGTTCTACGTTGAAACCAGTCAGTCAATTAACTTAACAGCTATCGTGTAATAGTACAATTTCATGGTCTAAAAATCACTTTACTAATCAATTTCATAAGCCATTAGTGCATCTAATAGTTCATAATAACTCATTATTATGGCTTTTCAGACAGGTGATTTCATGCACTTCAATATCTGAATTCTCCAAATTCCAACCAAGTCTGTCATATATTGTTATTATTATTATTATTTACTATTCCTTTGGGTTCCAAATCGATCATACGGCTTCAACAGAACGTCTCTCTTCATTTTGTTGTCGTATTCTCTGCAGTATTCTTCAGCGGACTCTACGATTGCCCGTAGGCTCTCGCCTCCTGCTCACATTATCTCCTCTATATCACCCTCGGACGCACACCCAACTCGTCGTTTTTCATTCGGGTTCCACTTGGGAAGTGGCCTGGTATGTTATACCATGCAGTAGTCTTCTCAACATCTGTCCCACCCATCTCCATTTTCTTCTGCATAGTTGTTGAGCTGTTGGTCGGCTCGTTCGTTCCCAGGGTTTTTTAGCCGGTGCTAAGCTTGAGGAGAGAGGGAAGGTTGAGTGTGTGTGTGTGTGTGGGTGTGGCTAGCGATCCTATCCCGAGAAATCAATCCGAAATTCGCTGCAAAAACTTCAAAACACAACAAAAGTATAAAAAGTAAAGTCTGTCATAGGGAAAATGATATATGTATGCCTATATTATTTGAAAACACAAACCAAGTACACTATGAGCGACGGCATGCTGTCCTCCACTGCATACAAGAAACACTAGGTTGAATGATAATGATAATCAAGTCATAAAATGTCAATGAAAGTAGGATTTTAAAGTTGTGATACTGCAGTTGAGAACATAGTCTAAAAGTTATTTACACGACTACAATCTTTTATCAGGTATATAACCTTTGAACACTGATTTCCGCTATATTACAACCCATCGTCTAGTAATCCCACTTCCCTTGGAATCAGACAGCAAGAAAGGTGGAGTTTGTTGTCGGTCCCTGTAGAGCTGGGTATGTTAGCCGTAGCCAGCGTTTGCCATCCAAACGTATCATCGATCACTTATGGTTTCAAAAAAGAGAAAAATGTTTCCCCGGAAGCTGTATCCTGGAAGACTTGATCAAATCGCAGCACCAAGGAAACCCACAAAGTAACTTTGAAGTCATCCATAGAATACGTGAATATCTTGCTAAAAGAGTACGAATCATACTTCTTCAAGCCTCAGAAGCAATGGCAATTCCTCACATGTGAAAACGTGAACTCTGCATACAAAAGCGGAAGTTTGTTCAGTCATTAAATCTACAGTGAACCTGACCGACCTATCTTAACACCAAATACGTAATTTGTTTTTTTGTTTAGTCTCTTTTTTGCTTGTTTATTTCTTAATTGTATAATATTTTCTTCCTCCAACCCTCATTAAATCTCTACCCCCCTTATTACCATCACTGTTGTTTACTTGACTTTTGTTCAACTTTAATTTTAGCTGAACTCTACTCAACCCCGTCAAATAGATTACGTCAGTCAACTTGCTTATTTAATCTTACTTTACTTGTTAACCAATTAGCGAACAGATTTTTACCTTTTGTCCAATTAACACTTTCTGCAATACATAATTTCTTTGTGTGTGTGTGTGTGTTAAAGTGTGACAGTGAGTGGAATTACTAAACTGTAATAATATTGGTCTATAGAATTATGAGTCACCACTGATTGGATATATGAATGAATAACTAAATAGATAGAGGTCAAACTAGAGTCAAGGTAATGTTACCTCGTTTGTCTAATTCCATGCGTATTCATTTGTTCACCTGCACTTGTGGAGTTAGGTGCATAAGACGTTCGTTGCCACGTTCAGGAAGACTTCCCAAAGCCTAACTTTATTGTATACAAAAACATTTGTATAATCTCTTTCGTTACCATGATCTTGACTTTCCCATTTCCTTTGCTTCTCAACGTTTTTGTTTGCTTCTGTATTCTATTCTGCATTTTTGTTGTATATGTTTTTATTTTATTTCTTCTTTTTCTAGCATTCTATCTAGTCCACCCCTTTGGTGACACTGCACACACAGGCTATATGTGTACATCGTCATATATTATGGTGACGCTTTCATATAGACAGATATACATTGTTTTTTGGATCTACTATTCCACACTTATCTTTTAAACTTGCGACTGACCTGTATTTACCCCGTTAGTTATTCATATATATATGATTGTAAAGTGATGAAAATGAAATCGTTGAAAAGATAATTTTCTCCGCTGGATTCTTTGTTTTTATGTCTCAATGGGAATTATTAATTTAGTCACGTAATTTGTTAACTGAAATTTACAACTCTAGTGACAAATATTTGAAATATCCAGTTTGTTGCTAAGATAATTAACTATATGTATGCGATTGTACAGCTTGAGAATGATGCCGCCGAAAAGACTAACTCTTCGTTGAATGTCTTGTCTTTTCAAGAGTCTAGTTTTCTTTTAGGATTAGATTTGTTTATACGACTTTGACCACGCACGGACTGATATCAGTGAGAGAGAGCCATTGAAAACTACTGCTGGAGTACTGGACAGCTGTTTCGTCGGCCTAGTTTAGGATCATTGGCAGTACGCGCCCACCACACGAGTTCGAACCCAGTACCTTCCGGTTACAAGGCAAGCTAACTCGCAGACCATTCAGTTTTTTTTCTTTTATAAAAATAAACGCTTGGATACAATGACTAAGAAGTTACATAATAAGGACAAGAGGTGACTAAGATGATAACTTATTAATAAGTTGAGTAACAATGTGGGGTGAGTTCAACTCAACCTAAATCATACAAACAAGTGACAAGAAACGTTATGGCTATAGCGAAAGGGGAGAGGGGTTTAAGCCAAAGAAAGCATCAAAACACTCAATTATCAGGGTAAGAAAGGGTTAATAACTAACTGCTTTTCTTCTGAGTACATAATTCTAGTTTCAGGCGTTTAACTGCGATGGCTTCGGCAAAGTTGAAGAGAATCACACTGTTTTGTTTATTGACAATTTCAGAGGATATGTAGATGTAGATGTTCACCTCATCATGACCCGTATCAAATGCGATTTCTAACAATGGCATTGTGAACTTTATTGATTCATAGCACTCTGTCGTCCATCCATAGTTAAGTTCGAATAAATCCTTCTTCTCTGCTTACATAATGTGTTTGATAACAACCACATCTATTCGCTATCGATTAATCTTTACACTCTCATTGACTAGAGTATCTGTTTTTTACGTGAAATCCTACACTGAGTTCTCTACATTATCGTATGTTGTGTCTACGTTGCTGACAGAAATCGAAATTCGTCGATGCCATCACTCTCCTACCGAAATTCTTAACTAATTTCAGCTTGTAATGTGAACTATCTTTAATGATTTTCGGTGATAACCCCTTTATGTGTCTGTCTAATTGGTTCACGTTAATAAATGTGATAACGTAAATCGTGGTGATCTACTCTTCTTTTTATTTAAGTATATTCGTTTCCTTACAGTGTAGATGTTTTATTTTCAGTTCACTATATGCATAATCCTTACAATATATTTCTTTCCTTTTTTAAGAGATTTAGCTTTGTATACTCTGGATGCAGTAGGTGCTGGTCGATGTCCTCCAGGTACTGTGAACTGTACAGCAGGTTGTATGGATTTGGAAAGTGCTAGGAAATCTAATGTCAATGTATTCAATGGTACTCCTCCAGAAGTAGTTCATCATTTAGTGGATCTTGCACGTGAATGTAAGTCATATATATATATATATATATATATATATAAGCATCAACTGTCTGATTGCTTTATGCTTTTTTCAATCGGTTTCATTGTATCTGTTTTCATCCTGACATAAGAATAAAAAAAGGAGGTTCAGTGAAGAGTTACTCTTGAATTCAGATTTATTTTATTCCTTTACACTCCCAGTGGTATATAAGGTTTCAAGCTAGAGGCTTGAAGTTTTGGTAGCAGTGGGATTTATTTTGTACGGGATGGGGTTGCTAGCCTCACATTAGCCCAGCCTTCCCTCTTTCCTAGTCCTATTACTGGCTTAGTAAGGTAAAGGAGTGTCTCGGTGAGCACCCGCCTGCTGTTTCCCCCAACGCTAATCTCAGATAGTTGAAGGCAGTCGGTAGGAAACACCTAGTCTGATCTAGTTTTCGTGCTAGTTGACACTCAACAGTCACCAAGGCGCGTAGCTATACCTACAACCTTGAAGGAACTCTCATGTCGCCTTTGAGATTTGAACCTGTAGTCACAGAGATGTTACCACTGAGTGGTGTCCTGCCTGGCGATTGACCTCCTGTAGGACTGAGTGTATTAACTTATCTTTTATTGGACACTAGTTAGTAACCAGAGTAATGTGTCCAGTCCTTTGTTTTGTGTAGACTGTGTATTCTATCAGTCATGTTTGCAATCTGGCCACCACGTTAATTGGCTCGCCATCACTTTACACTCAGAATTGGTGTTATTAAATGTCCACCTAATGGCATAATAACAATAATAATAATAATTTGCTTTATTCCAAAACAGTTCTTGTGATACAGAATGGAATTCTCAGCATTTCACTACAGTATTGCATCCAGTTAGTACATTAACAATAAATAAAATTCTACATAGATTATGGGTAATCTCAGTTCGTTTTGACAACAACATATTAGCTTGTCGGTAGCAAAGCCAAAATTGAACAGTGTGTTTGAAGGTATTAGAAAAGGTAGATGCTAGCATATTTACTGGCGTAAGCGGCAACAAAAGGTCGAGATATGCAGAGTGTGAGGGGACAAAAAGGATGTTTTCAGTAGAGTTTGTAAGGAAGTGAGAAACAAAACAGCACATTACAACAGCAAAGAGAGAAAAGGAAAAGAAAGAAAGAAAATGTTGTACCTATAAGTGACATGAGTTGGCCATATTGTAAGACTTGACTGATAGAATTCAGTCTACACCAAACAAGTGACTAGACACATGACACTGGTTACTGACTGGTACAATGATGTCTTTGAAAGTAAGAGTAAGTAACTCTTCGCTGATTGATTGTCTTTTCTTTTATATAGCTTAATTCTGCTGTTGGCTTACCATACCCCCTCCACTTTCTGGTATTCTGGTGTTTTTAATCATCGTTATACATATGTATTATATTAGTATACGTATCAGAAAGGAGAAATTCTTCCTTTCAAAATTATTGTGAACGCTTTCTATCACTTTTCTGAGAATTTCATTTATATATTTACCCTCATATTACTACTATTACTACTACCACTACCACTACGGAGCAGACTATCGATGCTTCTTTGTCTTACAAATAACACTAACTTACCAGCATAACACTTCATATCAGCGTAGAACGAATAACACTGTCATGTGATGTACGAAAATTAGATCACAACAATCAGACCTATTTACATTACAATAATATTTGTTATGATGCATTAATGTTTATTGTTTTCAACACTTGATTATGCTTATTTCTGTTCCCTCTAGTATACTATAATAATAATAATAATAATAGTTATTATCATTATTATTTTCCCTGCAACACACCCGCCACCGGGTCGGGTGGACGTGAGGAGAAATACTCACCGATGACACACTGACTGGTGGTTGTGTTGAAATCATGAATTACTAGTAGTTTGAATTCATGGACTGACTATTAAATTGAGTTCCAGAGGCTGAATAGTGAGTGTATGAGCTTTCCGTGTTACTCGGTGTTTGGTTCAAATCCCGGAAGTTGCATACCGCTCAAGCGCCTAGCAATCTGAAAGGACGAAAGAGTTGTTCAGTACTCCCTGTAATTTAAGTTGTAGATGAATGATGTTCTGTGTATATTTCCAATCTCTTTAAGGAGTAATTTTAAAAAATTTCTACCAATTGATATTTGACACGTTCATTGTGTTGTCCGTCCATTAAATAACCGAAAACAGAAAACAAAATGTGATAAACATTCTTTCAGATTTCTGCCTTTCTTGTAGTTGCTTAACGCTGAAGACCTCACCTCAGATACTTAATTAAATACGACTTTACCGAAGAGTACAAGAATATTGCCTTACCTAACTTGTTGATCTTTCTGCACGGATGATCAATAGGTGTCGCCCTAACCATTCAGAGAGTAAGTCGACTACCAGTTTATATATTTTAAGACTATCGATCCTATAGTCATTCGTTGGTTAGCTAGCTATATTCTGGAGAAGTAAGTAAGCGTGAATAGGCTACACAGATGAAAGCTCACGTAGATATTATAGTCTTCGTGGAAGAAGACATTGGTGAAGTTATTTTAAGTCTTCTGCATAACCTGGGTGAAGATTTGACTATTCTTGTCATAGGCAATTAACAGGGATCAAATGTCACTAAATATTCAATATCTCCTTCTAAATCATACGTAACGGCTATTATTATTATTATTATTATTATTATTACTCCCTTTGGTTCCGAGTGTGACATAGTGTTACAACAGCACACACCTCCATTCCACCCTGTTTTATTAAGTCCTTTTCAGCTGGCTCCACAGTTACCGATAGGCTCTCATCTCCTCTTAACACGATCTCTTCCATGTCACCCTCGGACGCCCGATTCGATGTTTCGAGGTAATTTTCTCCTAATAGTGACTATCCCATTGCCTTTCTCACCCAAACTTTCTTCTTATTCATGATATTTCTAAGTTTTTCTTAATCCCTATTTACACTACCATACTTTCATATCTGAACTTCCTGTCTATTTTGTCATTTTATTATTTCTACATATTTAATCTCCAACTGCCTAGACAATTATTCGTCACATTAGTTATGATCCCACTAGATTTTTTATCCAACCATCCTGTCTATTTCGGTATTCCTACATTTCTAACCCCCAATTGCACAATATGTCAATCTTCTCAGTAATTATGATGCTACTTTGTTTGAGTATTTTTTTCGCCCCCCTGTTTATTATGGCATTTTATTTCCTGATTGCAATTACATTAATCTGACCCTTGACCGGAAAGGTTTCTAGGATAATAGTGAAACCTGTCTACCTTACCATATTCTGTATCCGATCTTCGTATTTATTACACTGTGTAATTTTTTTATTTTACCCTTTAATGGGAAAAAATATACACGGATGTGGAGCCCAGTTTAAGAATTTTTGGGCAAAAAAAATTTTTTTGCTGCCAACCTCTTTTTTTTTTTTTTTTTTTTATTTATCTCCAAAAGCATATTCTACCGTCAAATTTACTCAGAATTGATATTATCTATTCATCAGTAGCTAATAATCGATCGAATCCAAGAGGTATGTTTTTCTATACACACGACTCTTCATTCTTGCATAAAAGTATCATTGTGAGGGACAACATTCATCCTCATTCAAATGACGTGTAGCATTTCAACAGACAAAAAGAAGGTCGAATAAAACGAAAACGTTACATAAGACTGTGAAATTCGATAACATAGAATTTAACGAGTCTAGTATCCATTTCTTCAATGTGAAATTATCAAGGGGGACCGATGGAACTCTGAAGACGTCGATTTATAGAGAGCTATCATGGAACAGTCAACTGATAAATTTCTGCAGCTGGGTAGCCATTGGATGAAAAATAAACCTGATTCGGTCGCTTGCCAATCGCTTTCGGTGCATATGTGGCCCTGATACTGTGGAGGATGAGAAAAATCTTAACAGAAAATGGATTTACACCACGTTTTATTCACAAGGATATACAGTCAAACGCTATAAAATGTGATTTACCAACCGTGCCCAAGAGAATACTGTACATGAACTTGGAATTCAAAGGTGTCTTAGCTTCTGATACTATGAAAAGAAGGATATCACAGTCCCTGAAAAGAAAATTCCCTGATGCATCATTTAGAATAGCCTTTACCAGTCAACCATTACTGTTCAATAACCCGAACAAGAAGATCGGGCTGTTGGCCAACCGTATGTGCATTCATCAACTTACCTGCTCTTGTGGAGCTAGGTTGTTTGACTTGAGTTTTGTCCGAGAGGGGATATTCGTTGAGCAGTAGGTTGTTGATTGATTTGTTCCCAGAGTTCTCTGTCACTAATTCTGTCTTTCTGGTGATCTCATCTTCAATATGAGGGGATCGTAGTTGTTGGTGCAGACCAGAAGGATATTGGAAATGCTTTTCGTGAAACTAAAGTCAAGTTTCTGAGTCATCTAGAAGAACTGACTTAACATTGATATTGTAATTTTGAATCGTTTTCTTTATGCTGACTGTGTGCAGACAGTTTCCAAACTGATCACAGAGTGCTGACGGGGTGTTTAGCCTCTGCGATTCTGGTTTTGACAGCGTTATACATGTTGTCGTGTGTTGTTGAAACGATGCCTCCTGGCCAGATAAGTGAAGGAAGTGACCTCTTTCAAATTTTTCCCGTGGATACTTACTGGTGTTTGTTGTTGGTTGTTTGTTCGTTCGCATCACCTCCGTCTTTTGTATGTTTACTTCACGTCCTGTCTTCGCTGCCAGCCTCTCTACTAACTCGTTGCTTTTTGCCTGTAGGTCTTCTAGTGTGGTAGACATCAGACGTAAATCATCCACTTCGTCCAGATCTTCTAGTCTTCTTTTGGATCTAGAAGATCTAAAACACAGGCATACTTACCGTCGTCCAACAATCGTCATATTTCTAGACCTGAAAGCGGCATTTGATTCCGTCGACCGAGAAGTGCTTTGGCGATGTTCAATTGTGAAGGAAATGCCGAGAATGTACATCGCACTGATCAATGTACTCTACTCTGACTGACACAACCAGATCAGAGCTAATGGAG